ATGGCCACTGGTCCCATCACCTCCTGGCAAATAGCAGGAGAAGATATGGAGGCAGTGACAGATTTTACTTTCTTGGGCTCCATGATCTCTGCAGATGGTGACAGCAACCACAAAATTAAATAAACACTTGCTTCTTGGGAGGAAAGTGAAGACAAACCTAGATAACATCTTAAAAAGCAGAGAAATCATGTTGCCAACAAACGTCCGCATAGTTAAAGCTATGGTTTTTCCTGTCGTGATGTATGGAAGTGAGAGCTGGACCATAAAGAAGGCTGACCACCGAAGAATTGATGCTTTTGAATTGTGGTGCTGGAGGAGACTCTTGAGAGTCCCCTGGACTGCAAGGAGAACAAACCTATCAATTTTAAAAGAAATCAACCCTGAGTGCTCACTGGAAGGACAGATCCTGAAGATGAGGCTCCAATATTTTGGCCATCTGATGAGAAGAGAAGACTCCCTGGAAAAGATCCTGATGTTGGGAAAGGGTGAAGGCAAGAGGAGAAGGGGACGACAGAGGATGAGATGGTTGGACAGTGTCATCAAAGCAACCAACATGAATTTGACCCAACTCCGGGAGGCAGTGGAAGACAGGAGGGCCTGGCATGCTCTGGTACATGGAGTCACGAAGAGTTGGACGTGACTTAACGACTAAACAACAACGACAGACGCCATCACCAAATCCTTTGGCAAGAAGTTGAGGGAGATATAACTCTCTGAAACACAGCTGTGTCTAGCATTGTTTTAAACTTTTCCCTGCTGGCCTTTTTAAAACTATATTTCCTACATAATGGTACACATTGACTGCTTCTATGGAGCAGTTTGCTTGAATGTACAGGGAAATATACTAGAAGGGTATTATGAAATACTTGGAATGAGTGAAAGGTCTGCTTTGATTCTCACCATAGCATTTTGGATTCCTGATTCTAGCTTAGTAATCTTCATTTCCACTTTTCCATTGCAGTGATAAATTATGAAGTGTGCGTAGTTACTGGCGATGTGCGGAATGCAGGAACCAACGCCAATGTCTTCATGCAGGTTTATGGTGAGCTGGGTAAAACGGAGGTGCTGATTCTGAGGAACAGATCAAACAATTATGAAAGGGGAGCTTCAGAAACCTTCAAGGTATGCCAAACTGTGGGGGAATTTTTGATGGAATCTAGCTGCACAGCTATGGTTTGGACCTTTGCTAGGTCTGGAGATTAGGCAGAAATTGCACAGATTTTGTGTCTTAGAGTTCCACAGGGTCAGGCTGGTGCTGGTTCTGCACCCTGAGAGCTAAAATAAGTTTCTTAGCGGTCAGAGTAGAATCTTCGGGGCCTTTTGTTCTGTCTCCTGACTAGCAGTGCCAGAGTAATTCGTGCAAAACGGAAATGAAGAAACAGATTAAGTAAAGGTTTCAAACGGGTGCTTCAAATTACAAATTGTTTCGTGTTTTGAACATACGTAGATATGTTTCGATTTTCAGTGAGTTTCATTTGGGTTCCCTCATAAGGATGTTCCATTCCATTTTCTGGGAATTGTTAAAAGTAATGGCACAAAAATAATCATTTATACTCTATTTCCTCCTACAATGAGCATTTTTGCGTGCCTTTCCCTCTACATTGCACTTGTTTGCATGCATTTCCCCCCGTCTCTCTGTGTGTGTCTGTGTGTAGGTGTGTGTATGTGGGTGAGTGAGTAGTTGTTGTTGGTATTTGTATGTGTTTCCCTGTACGCATTCTTTAGCTGACAACTACATCACAAGAACTACTGCATATTCTAAAAGATAGCTGCATTCTGATCTGCCAAGGAAAGCAAACTAGGTGGGTTTACTTCAAAAATGAATGAAATTCTGCAGCATCTCTTGCTGAACAGGCCTGTGTGTTTTGACTGATCATCTCCCTGGCCAGTAAGTCTCATGTAGTCACTGGAGACATGCTGCTCAAAGCTTGGAAACAGTACATTGAAAACAAATACATTACTCATTGATGGCTGAAAAAAACACCAGTGCCTTGTAACTACTAATAACATCACATGTTCTTCATATATTACACTTAATGTTAGCTTCTTCTTCTTTAAAAGCAAACAAACAAAAATTGTCTTTCCTTTATGATTTGTGAAATAACAACTTATTATTGCTCATTATGCAAAACTTTCTAGTTCAAGTCAAGGAATAATAAGAGGAGATAGTATAAACCTCAAAATGTTGGAGGTTCAGGACTTCCTAATGTATGGTTATATTATAATCCCAAGACATATTTCAGGTGTTATACCTGAGCCTGATAAACTAATTTGGTTGAATACGGAAACACAAGAGTTACCTTCAAATCTGGTAAATATTATCTTTATGCCAGATAATTAAAATATAGTTTCAAAAAGGGAAAAGAAAAGAAAATCTCTTCTCTAGAAATAGGCTAACTGTTTGGAATTGGTCTATAACACCGTTTATCCCACCAGTTTCCCCATAATACCCAGGGACTGAATTGTAGAAATTCCCAGAAAGCCTTTTAAAATATCTATTTATTAAGCAAACTAATAAAAAGACAAGTTTTTAAAATAAAGGATTGGGTAGAAAAATAAACAAATCACAAAGAACAAATAAAAGAAGAGTTAGGACAAGCTGTAGCATCTTTGTATAATATTATCCAGTTACAACGAAGGAATAGAGATGGGCAATGAACCACCCAACCTGTGGATTATGCAGAACAGGTATTCAAGCAGCTCCCAGCCCCACCTCCTCCGATGGGCAGCCACTCAGAGGCAGCGCCCCGGCTTCTGTGCCCCACATCCTCCAGGTGTTGCCTCTAAGTGGGCGCCCCCTGGAGGAGGAGGAGGAAGGCCTGGGAACTGCTGAACACCTGATTTGCCGAAGGACGAACCGGCACGGAGCACTGGACTGGCAGTTTGCACCCATCTCTAATGAAGAAAGTACTGTATACTCCAAAAGCAAAGCAAAGGGGGATAACAAGGTAGTGAAGGATACAGTAAGCATAATTTATAATATTCTACAGGAAGCAGATGATCAGGATGACTGACTCAAAGCATTAAGGGAATGTGATATGTGGAAAGAAATAAGTTCCAGTGCTTGGAAAAAACTCAGATTCTGAAATCAATGTCAATAAAGATAAAAGAGAATTTTTATAAGTTAGTTTGGGAATGATACCTAACTTCAATGAAGTTTAACCAATTAGATGGCCATCCTTCTAAGATGGGCTGCAGACCGGGTGCCGGAAAACAGGCACATATTTTCATATGTGGTGGCAATGGGAGCGTGAGAATCAGAATCTCTGGCAATGAATTTTAAACATGTAATATAAGACTTAAGAGGGAGGTAACTGTCAGAAATGTGTAGACATTTGAGGAGAATTTATTGATTTTTGTACTAATAAAGGAGAAGAGACGAGGCTCCTGTCAAGAGTCTATACAATTTTTGAAAGGAAAGGGGACTCTGCGAAAGAGGTAAAGGGTATAGGTGGTTATTCCCTAATGGTCCGGGTGATGGAGTGCACAAGGGTATGTGCGTGTGTGTTATCAACCAGTTCTTTAAAGGAAAGCCTGCCAGAAGAGAAATATATATATGCACAGCAAACATCTTGTGGTGTTGAGGACTGAGTGAAATGGGATACAGAAAATTATGACTACTGTACTTTGTTAACAACGGTAAGGAACACTGAAAATGTTGAATGCACAAATATTCTGGCAGTAGAAAATCAGGCATCTGTAAGCCAATACACAATGTTTAGTCTCTTAGCTTCAAAGTGTTAAGGCAATGAGTTCTACTCTGTGGGGCAAAATGCTTTTGTTAAAGTCAGAATTTTGCCAAAGAAAAAGATTAGTTACATCATTAACAACAATATTAAAGGTTGAGGCTGCAGATGTCGGCAAGGTCTACAAGATCCGAATTGGCCATGATGGGACAGGCTTTGGGGACGGTTGGTTCTTGGAGACTGTTACGGTGAAGAAGATGGCCACAAAGATGGAGAAGAAAAAGAAGAAGAAGAAGAAGAAATCCACAGAAGAGGAGGGAGAGGAGGAGGCCAAGGAAGCCAACATCATGGAAGTTTATAATTTTATGCCGAGACGTTGGCTGGCAAGTGATGAAGAAGACAAGGAACTGGTGGTGGAGCTGATACCCGATGAAGGATCTGAACTTGAAGGTGAATTGAGATAATCTGGACTTGTAGGCTGCTAAATGTGTTCCATTAATCAGGGTTGGGAAACCTTTTTGCCCCTCCAGATGTCTTGAGTTTCCAGAGCACCAGGAAACATGCCAATGGCAGGAGAGTATGGGACTTACCACCCAAAATAGCTGGAGGCCAAAAAAAAATTCCCAACCTTCTACCTAGAACAGAGGTGAGCAAAGCCTGGTGCATCGGCCATAGGTGGCTTTCACAGGCTCTACAGCCCCACAATTCTTTTTTGGAATTGGAATCCATATTAAAAGCACAAATCTTAAGTGATGACTCATTAATTCATGACAATCTGCCACTGTGAATTCTACCATTTCCCTTCAACCAACAGAAGTAACTACAGGACAGAATTTTTGTTCCCTGAGTTTAGCAGGAGGCAGTTCTCTTAGGCGGGCTGGTGTGGGACAGGTCTCTGTGTGATTTTGTAAATTGCGATCAAACATATCTGAAAGGTGCTGTAGGGATATAGCCAATCAAGGTGTTCTGAGAAGCTGAAGCTAGCATTGTTTAAGCACTCCATGTTCCCTCATCCTCGTATGCAAGGATAAGACAAGTTTTACATCCCTGTTCCATTCATTCAGGAGCGATTGATGAAGAATGACCTAGTGTAGTATCTCACTAGAAGATATGTTGACTCCATACCTAGAAACGGTGCACCCTTAAGAGGAAAAGTACTGTCTGCTTATTCTAACATGAGTTGCCTTAATCCTCATTTGCCATTTTGTTTTGCTAATGTTTTATAATGGGGCTGATTGGAGACAGCTCAAATTTGTTTGCATGCCTGTTGTTTCAGGCATGTAACATTGAAATATTTGTGTTGATATTTATTGTAACTAAAAGAAATGTGGTCTGATCTTCCAGTTAGCTATTCTGTTCCAAGCAACACATGGTACTAGAAAACCGCTTTCTTTTCAAAAAGGGAAATGGTGACAGAAAGTGTTTGAAGAATATATGATGGACATAATTCCCCGTGGGGAATTAGTTGTGTTTTTAAGCTGTGGACGTTAAAATAAACGTGTACCTTGAATGCCTGTGATTTCCTTTCCTCAGCGAACACCTATGAGGTCCACGTCCTTACTGGGACTGTGTGGGGAGCTGGAACTGATGCAAATGTCTACTTGAGCATCTATGGTGAAAGAGGAGACACCGGAGAGCGTCACCTGAAGCGCTCAAAAAACCTGAACAAGTTTGAGAAGAACCAGGTGAGAACCTGCTGGATTGCCCAGTGGTTTAGGCATTGACTGCAGAGCCAGAGGCTGGCGGTTCAATTCCCCACTGTGCCTCCTTGAGAGGGGCTGGAGGAGTCTATGATCCAGAGGGTCCCTCCCAGCTCTGCAGTTCTAAGATTATTGACCTAAGAATTGTTCAGAGGATGTAGACAGACTGGAGCTCCAGAGACAGATATGCCCTTCTGACTTTTTCTACACCATCCAACTGGGAACATAAAAGTGGTATGCATGGGGGCTGCAGTTCCATTCCTGTTTCCCCACCTTTTGATTCCAACATTTTCCCATTGTGTTTTTAAAATGTGGACATTAAAATAAATGTACCATATTTTTTGCTCTATAAGACGCATTCCCCCCCCCAAAATGTGTGGGGGGACGTCTGTGCGTCTTATGGAGCAAAGCTGGTGGTTTTGCCCCCACTGGCCCCGTGGGGGTGGGGGGAGCCTCCCAAGGGTCCGAGTCTGCCTTCCAGGACCCTTGGGAGGCTCTCCCCCCCACGGGGCCAGTGGGGGCAAAATCGCCAGCTTCTGGAACTCTTTTGAGGCTTGGGAAGCTTCAGAAGAATCCCTGAAGGTGGTGATTTCGCCCCCTCTGGCCCCCAGGGGGGCTGGGTGAACCTCCAAAGGGTCCTAGGGTGTGTTCCATAAGACGGACCTCTCCATAAGGCTCACCAAATTTGTAGGAGAAGAAAACAGGAAAAAAATAATCTGGGAATTTCGGCCTGCTGGGCCAGCGGGGGTGAGGGTTGGGGGAAGCCTCCAAAGATTCCGAGAGTGCTGAAATTCCCAGATTATTTTTTTCCTGTTTTCTTCTCCTAAAAATTTGGTGCGTCTTATGGAGAGATGCGTCTTATGGATGCCATAGATTATTTCACATGCATTTTGAATGGTCGGTTTTGCCTTCACCTACACTCTCAATTTTTTCCATTTGGATTTATGGAGAAATGTGCTACGTTTGGTGCCTTTGTGTCAAAAAGGAGCCAGGCAAGACTCTCCACCATCTCCACGGGGCCAAATTCTGTTGGCAAGAGCTGTGCCCAGTAGGGAGATGGTCATGCGGGACCCATCCGCTGTTAAATATGTGGAAGAGACTGAGAAAAGGGATTCATTATCAAGATAACTGGCTGGATAGCTTAGTGAGTTAGTTATCTGGCTGCAGAGCCAGAGGCTGGGAGGTTGATTCCCCACTGGCCCTCCTATGAGTAGAACCAACCTGTATAGCCTTGGGCAAGCTGCCCAGTCTTAGGGCACCTGCAAAAGATGGGAAACCTGAGTATTCTCTACCTGGAAAACCCTAAAAACATTCATCATAAATCAGAATCGACTTGATGGCATATTATTATTATTATTATTATTATTATTATTATTATTATTATTATTATTATTATTATTATTATTATTATTATTATTATTATTATTATTATTATTATTATTATTATTATTATTATTATTATTATTGTATTTTTAAAATGACAGTTCCCAGAATCCCACAGGCAGACTAGCCACTGTCTTTGGGATTCTGGGGGTTGCACTCTGAGCCGGAAACATATTCCACCTCGGAGTTACGTGTCATCCTAGCTAGATCAAAGATTTCCAGGAGCAGTTGCAATTGGTGCACTATCTTCTCCTGTGCTCAAATCTGCTCTTTGGCCACTGCCAACATTTGGGTATCTCAGGATTTTAAAAATATAATTAAAAAAAAAATTGCAAGCCTGGCCATTGAAAAATCTTTCTCGGAAGGCACTCAGTAGTCAAAGCCTGTCTCAGTAAAAATTACAAAAATATTCTCAAAACATGTACAAATAGCCTTATAATAAATAATGGTGTGTCATCAAGTCAATTCTGAGTTACAGCAAAACTTTTTTTTTGGTTTTCCAAGTAGACGGCACTCAGAAGTAGTTTACTATTCCCTTCTTTTGGTGGCTCTCTTGGAACTGTGCAGCGTGCCCAAGGCCATACAGGCTGGTTCTTCTGGGAGGCACAGTGGGAAACCAAATTCCCAACTTCCGGCTCTGTAGCCAGATACTTCTCACTGAGCTATCCAGCTGGTTCACAAATAGATTTAGAAATATAGATAAAATCTATTTTTTTTTCTGTAGTGTTCTAATGAGATGTTAAGAACCAATACCAGATACCACATTCAGTGACTACCTAGCAAAATTCTCAGTTCTCAGAGTGACGAGGTAAATATGCAACGTAAAACCTTATGGAGGAGAATTTTACAAAGCTATCAACACACATATTGGTTTCACCTCTAACTGTTGAAGTGACTCGCATCCACATTCCTGCCTATCCATGTACACCGGAGCAAGCCCCTTTCAGGCAGATCAGATTTAACACCTGCTCTCCAGCTTTTCTTTTAAAATGGGAAAATATTAATGGCAATGGACAAATTCCTCTAGAAACCTGGAGGCTTACATTCTGCTCTCTTGCTGCTGGTTTGCAGGTGGATGTATTCAATGTCCCAGCCATCGACCTCGGAGAGCTCACCAAAGTACGGATCAGACATGACAACTCTGGAAGCAACCCAGCTTGGTACCTGGAGAGGATAGAGATTACCGACACCAAAGAAGAAGTCACGTAAGTACAAAGACTCGTACATTCTGCAGCCCCCCTTAGAAATGCAACCTGAAGACGTTCATTAGTCAGTTTACAGTTGCTGGTAGAAAGTACGAAGGGGTAGCAACACCCCATAAGTGAAACAAACATAAGCATTTGGTATTTGGTGTGGAACAAGGGATCCTATTTAAGACGAACTCCAGGGAAGCCCACGCCCCCAGTTCACGGATTAATTGGTTTTCAGTCCATTCCTATGGGAAATTTTGCTTCAACTTAAGAATGTTTCAACTTAAGAACACTATTCCAAAACCGATTAAGTTCTTAAGTAGAGGTTCAACTGTAGTTTCTATGGACGGAAAAGAGCAGATACAGATTAAATGGTTTTCAATGCTTTCCTATGGGAAATGCAGATTCAACATAAGAACTTTTCAACTTGAGAACCACCTTCCAATACGGATTAAGTTCTTAAGTAGAGACCCCACTGTATTTGGGGTGGAACAAGGGATCCTATTTAAGATGAACTCCAGGGAAGCCCACGCCCCCAGTTCAGCCATAGAATCCTACTCTGCTTATACAGCACTATCCTTAGGCATTTCATACCCCACAGCTATGCAAGTCTGCTTAGATGTAACTTTGTTTGCAGGAGAGCTGACTGCAAGATTAAAAGAGTCTAGGATTGCCACCTCCTGTTAGAAGGTTTCCATACGTGACTAAGTAAAAAGAGCTGTACTTTGGACATAGAGCAGTTCCTAATTTTATATGGTGTGTTTGGAGGTCTTTTGTTTTAATGTTAATCAGCTGCAAAGATCGTATAATCAAGATTTCCTGAAAACTGGAGATCATACCATGTAAAAAAAGAAGGTTGTGCTCTGTCTGCCAATAAGTCCTGTTATGGCTGTGGTTTCATATGCCTGCTTGCGCTGTAATCAGAAAGGCAAGGAGGGAGGAATCCTCAGTTTATATATTTTGTTAGAGATCATAGATAGCAAGGAGATGCTGCTGGCCAATGCACTCAGTGAGAGGAGGCAACTTTGGGGAAGGGAAGGGGCTTCGGGTGGGGTCTTCCTCTAGACATTTGGCAGACCATAGGTTCTATGGTGATTGTACAGGTTGCAAGAACTGGAACACGGAAAAAACACACCCATGAACGGTTCCAGATCTGTGTCAAAGCTTGTAAAGGCCATGAAAGGGTAGTATTCTTGCTTCTGTTATAGCCTGGGACATCTAGCAGTTGCTGCTTGATTTGTCTCCCTATAAAACACATAGTTTTTCCAAATTTCCCCCAGATTTCCGCATAGGGCTGGGGCACCCAAGGTAGCTTAAGATGCTATTCACTGCAGGATCGGTACAGAGGAGAGATGCTGTCCTTTGCTTTACCTGCCATGCGAATTTAATAATCATTAATCAAACCACATGGATCACATAAAGAGCTTGTATTCTTCTCCACTGTTGTTTAGATTGGAGCACTGTGGCTCAGACCTGCAATTAATGCAAATATTTGTGCCTTTTTAACAATGGGTGGACCTGAGAACCAAAGGAAGAAAGGAAAGGAGGGTCTACCCCAGCTTTCTGTCTGAACAAAAGTGTCTTCAGATTTTCCGCATGGTCAGACAATGGGGTATACTTCAGTTCAGCTATACGAACCTGCCCTTCTCTTTAAAATGGATCCCAAGCCCAGAGCTTGGAAATGCGACTTCTTTTGGACTACAACACACTGAATCCACTAGCTGGCTACCATGGCAAGGGGATTCTGGGAGTTGTAATCTTAAAAAAAGATATTTCCCCCAGCTCCAGTTCCTGGTCAGATCCAGTGCTGAATAGCTGGTTGAGTGGAGAATGCTAAACAGTGTCATTCTTGCAGCTATTATTTTCCCTGCCAGAGATGGTTGGCAGTGGAAGAAGATGATGGCCAGATTGCCAGAGAGCTTGTCCCCGTGGATGAAGCGTTTGTGCTAAAGGGTCCGGATAGCGATGGTTCTCTTGCAACCCTTGGCCTGGAACAGAAAGGTTTGTTGCCAGTTTTTGGAAGTTTCTCCCATGTTAACACCAAAGGTGAAACCAGCAACATTAAGACCGCAGTCACACCAGCAAAAATGTTCTCTGTTTATGTCCCAGTGAGATTGCATTTTATATTTGTGGTCACTCAACGCACGGCCAATAGTGAATCATTTACCTGCAGCTCATTTCCTGCTCGCCCGGAGGCTTCTACCATTTCTGTTCTGGTGTAGTTCGATATATTCAGTTACAGTATGGCAAGTGTGTGCAATCCTGTTGAACCTTTTCAAACTAAAGTCACCATTGAAGGAAGCTTCCATTACTGCCTCACAGCCGCCCGTTTAATTTTTTTAAAAAAATGTCTGTGGCCAGAGTATTGATGCATTAGTAAACTTCCGTCAGCAATTTCAACTCTCAGCGTCGATGGAATTGCTTCTGCACACCATCTTGAAATCACTCCACCTCCTTCCAGGGAAGCCACACAGCCCTGAGAAGGGGTGCTGGTCTTTGCGGGTAATGCATTGCTTCCAGAGGCACCGGTGCAAAAGATACAAATTTCTACCCATCAGAAAACACTATCAATGTATCATTATTTTCAGAAAATTAATGTTAAGGGGCTTTAGGTAAAGATAGAGGTTCCCCTTGACAATTTGTCCAGTCGTGTCCGACTCTAGGGGGCGGTGCTCATCCCCATTTCCAAGCCATAGAGCCAGCGTTTGTCCGAAGACAATCTCCCATGGCCACGTGGCCAGCGCGACTAGACACGGAATGCTGTGACCTTCCCACCGAGGTGGTACCTATTTATCTACTTGCATTTACATGCTTTTGAACTGCTAGGTTGGCAGGAGCTGGGACAAGCTATGGGGGCTCACTCCGTCACGTGGATTCGATCTTACGATGGCTGGTCTTCTGACCTTGCAGCACAGAGGCTTCTGTGGTTTAACCCGTAGCTCCACATCCCACTAAGGGGCTTTAGTGCCCCATAAAACAAGAGGGGAAATAATTCGGCACCATGGTGTAGCTAGCCATAAGAATTCAAATGGAAGGAAATGGTTCAGTAACCCAAAACACACATCCAGGAATACGTACCATGTGACCACGAAGCACAACAAGAAAGGGATGGAAAGTATCATTAACGCAGAGGGACATGTCCCTGGTGTGACTGTGGCCAAACCTAGTTTCAGCATTATTTGGAGTGGCGTTTTCATTGTAGAGATTTCCACAATTATTTCATCTCAAAGCCATTTTAAAAAGGGATTATTTTATTTTCTTGATGTGTTTGAGATTTTAGTGTTGTGTCTGAGTTTTAACACATCTGTTTAATGCTTTTTTTAAAAAAAATATTGTTATTATTTTAGTTTTTACTTTGCTTCTTTTAGCACTGTAAGCTACCTTGAATCTTTTAGGAGAATAAAATCAAACAATAAAGAAATTAAATAAATAGACGCCCAGCTTTTTCCATACAATAACTGACATTTCAGCTGACTTGCCAATGACCACTCGTATTTCATAATGAGAACACTCATACGCAGTGCCAAAAAAAGAGCAAATAAGAATTGTGGTAGCTTGCTGTACTAAACTCCTCCCACTGATACTCAGTGTTAGCGTATGCAAGGTTGTTATTGGCCCAACATTTTCAACATAGAATCTTCTCTTTGACAGCTAAATCTACTACATTCACTGTCACAGTGAGAACCGGAGATAAGAAACATGCTGGGACAGATGCCAATGTTTTCATTGTTCTTTATGGAACCAAGGATGACACAGGTATAAAGCCCTAGAGAGAGCACACGTGGCTTTTAAACACTCATTGAGTTAGCAGCCATGCCAGGGTGATGTTAGCTGTTCTTTCTGTAAAGGTTTCATCTTTTCATGGCAAAACATTTAGTCATTAGAGCAGCTAAATCAGATCAGATCTTTTTCTTGGGTCCAGATAAATGGTTTATTATTATTTTTTCCAAATCTTTTGCCCAGAAAAAGAAAAAAAAGTTTTATTTTTTATTCTCCTTGGATTGCCTTGAGATCTCTTTTGACAAATCCCATGTTCAGGGCCTACGTGCTGGGTAATTGGTGTCTTGAAACACATCAGATTGATATGAATGGGACTTGTCGGTAACAATGAACTGGTGCTCTTTTGATTTCAGTTAGTCTAATCACAATAATTATGTGCTGTCAGGTCAATGCTGACCTATGGTGACCCTTTCCATGGTTTTCGAGGGAGACAGTACTCAGAAGTAATTTACAATTGCCCTCCTCTAGGGGGAGCCCTGGGACTGTGCAGCTTGCCCAAGGCTACATAGGCTGGCTTTACTTCACAAAAGGTACAGTGGGGAACTGAACTCCCAACCTCTGGCTCCTCAGTCAGATACCTAAGCCACAGAGCTTTCCAGCTAGCTTCAGTGAGTCTACTGAATTAATAATTCCTTTTGTTTCATTGGGTCTACAGGATTTCTCCTCCTCCTCCTCCTTCCTCTTCTTCTTCTTCCTCCTCCTCGTCTTCTTTTTCCTCTTTTTCTTCTTCTTCCTCTTCTTCTTCCTCTCTTTCTTCTTCCTCTCCTTCTTCTTCCTCTTCTTCTTCCCCCTCCTCCTCTTCTTCCTCTTCTTCTTCCTCTTCTTCTTCCCCCTCCTCCTCTTCTTCCTCTTCTTTTTCCTCTTCTTCTTTCTCTCCCTCTTCTTCCTCCTTCTTCCTCTCCTTCTCCTTCTCCTCCTCCTCCTCTTCCTCCTCCTCCTCCTCTTCTTCCTCTTCTTCTTCTTCCTCTTCTTCTTCTTCCTCTTCTTCTTCTTCCTCTTCTTCTTCTTCCTCTTCTTCTTCTTCCTCTTCTTCTTCTTCCTCTTCTTCTTCTTCCTCTTCTTCTTCTTCCTCTTCTTCTTCTTCCTCTTCTTCTTCTTCCTCTTCTTCTTCTTCCTCTTCTTCTTCTTCCTCTTCTTCTTCTTCCTCTTCTTCTTCTTCCTCTTCTTCTTCTTCCTCTTCTTCTTCTTCCTCTTCTTCTTCTTCCTCTTCTTCTTCTTCCTCTTCTTCTTCTTCCTCTTCTTCTTCTTCCTCTTCTTCTTCTTCCTCTTCTTCTTCTTCCTCTTCTTCTTCTTCCTCTTCTTCTTCTTCCTCTTCTTCTTCTTCCTCTTCTTCTTCTTCCTCTTCTTCTTCTTCCTCTTCTTCTTCTTCCTCTTCTTCTTCTTCCTCTTCTTCTTCTTCCTCTTCTTCTTCTTCCTCTTCTTCTTCTTCCTCTTCTTCTTCCTCTCTTTCTTCTTCCTCTCCTTCTTCCTCCTCCTCCTCCTCCTCCTCCTCCTTCTCCTTCTCCTCCTCCTTCTCTTCTTCTTCTTTTTCTCCTTCTCTTTCTCCTTCTTCTTCTTCTTCTTCTTCTTCTTCTTCTTCTTCTTCTTCTTCTTCTCCTTCTTCTTCTTCTTCTTCTTCTTC